TGTCTCAGCCTCCCAAGTAGCTGGCACTACAGGCACCCGCCACAACACCTGGCTATTTTTAGAGACCAGGTCTCTCTCTGGCTCAGGCTGATCTCAAATCTGTGAGCTCAGGCACCCCCGGAGTGCTACGATTACAGGCATGAGCCAATGCGCCTGGCCTCGATACAAAGAAATTTCAAAGGGTCTTTCTAGGATCTACCACATACCAAGAAGGTTGCCAAATTAAATTATAAATGCTTGATTTTCAAAAAAGCAAAAATGCCTTTTGGCATTTATCGTAAATTCAGAACATTCATTTTATGAAAAAGATAGAATTATGGAAGTACATGGAGAGGGTATGAGAGAGAAAGCAGGTAAGGATAATCTTTTGGCAGGTCTTCAGGGACCAGAATTAATCAATTAATCAGAATCAGTGTATGAGCATTCTCTAGACTCTTAACAGTGATGATCTGCAAATATTGATGACTTTCCTTTTTCTTTTTGGGAGTCAAAATCTCATTTTGTCACCCTCAGTAGAGTGCAGCAGCATCATAGCTCATAGCAACCTCAAACTCTTGGACTCAAGCAGTCATCTTGCCTCAGCCTCCGTAGTAGCCAGGACTACAGGGGCCCCCCATCACACCTAGCTATTTTTTAGAGGCAGGTCTCTTGATCAGTCTGGTCTCAAACTCAAGCTCAAGCAATCCACCACATTGGCCTCCCACAGTGCTAGGATTACAGATGTGAGCCACTGCAGCCTGCCTATAGTGATGGACTTTCTAAGCCAAGAGGTCAGAGCCAGCTGTAGAGAATGGACACAGTAATCAGAACTTGGCTTCTAGACTAGTTTTCAGTTTCAGAAAAGTGTGTGTATGTGTTTGTGTTGAGGGAAGGAAGATGGATTATATGTAGAGTCGTGGTCATTCAGTAAATTATCTCAGAACTGGACATCTGTTTCAGACTGTTTAGCAGTTTGATTGTGGACACGTGTGATTTTCTTAAATGTCTCTATTCAAGGGCTACATTTAAATTGGACTGAAAAATCTTTCACAAGGGGAGAGGTTTCCAATCTTTAACTCTCATTTTCTACGTCTGCTGATTGGTATCATACTTAATCTTCAGAGAAAATCACCCAATGTGTGAATTGAGTGCTTTGTATATGCAAGATTATGCTCATTTAGGATTTGGGCACTATAAACTCAGAGTTGGTACTTTGTCAACCTAATAAATGCTAAGATTTAAAGAGCTGAGGGATCATCACCACCTTCATTACAACTTTTATGTTGTCTCTGGATGTGTTGCATTCTCTTTGGAACCTATTATATTCTAAGTGAGAAGGTCTAGTTTGGGAGGTAGATTGTTGGTGTTTGACTGTGTCTGTCTATGTATGCACGGTCAACTACATCTTTGGACTGCTATGGATTGACTTCTGGATGGCAACAGCACCTCCTGTTTCTTACAGATAAATTTAATGTTAGAGTCATTCCAAGATATTCTCATTAACCAACAACTGCAATAATCTGAGGGTTAGAACCCCCCACCATGTTTCTCCCAGTAGCACCTCCGATCATTAAGAATCACAGCATTCCTAGGACCTGAGTATTTTTTCCTCTCTTTATCAACATCCATATGCGTGGATTTTATACCTAACTAATATGCTGTTTGTTGGATGTTAGATTGGACAGTGGTGGGCAATGGAACATGCCTCAAAAGCTGGGCTTTTTCTTTCTCATCACTCTTTGTGCTCTGATAATATTGAAACTTGGCTCTGTTTCTCTTTCACTAGAGTTTTGTTTTTGAGACAGAGTCTCACTATGTCGCCCTCCAAAGTGTGCTGTGGTGTCACAGCTCACAGCAACCTCAAACTCTTGGGCTTAAGCAATTCTTTTGCCTCAGCCTCCCAAGTAGCTGGGATTTCAGGTGCCCACCACAACACCTGGCTATTTTTTGGGTTGCAGTTGTCATTGTTTCTGTTTAGCTGACCCAGGCCAGGTTCGAACTATCAGCTGAATGTGGCCAATGCCACAACCCCTGTGATATGGGCGCTAAGCCAAGATTATTATAATGTTTTTTTTTTTGAGACAGAGTCACACTCTGTCACAATTGGTGGGGTGCCATGGCTTCATCATAGCCACCTCAACCTCTTTGGCTCAAGATATCCTTTTGCATTGGCCTCCTCAGTAGCTGGGACTGTAGGCACCCACCACCACCCCCTGCTAGTTTTTCTAGGTTTGGTTTTTTTTTTTTTTTTTTTGTGCAGTTTTCGCCAGCTCTGGCTTTGAACCCGCCACCTCTGGCACATGGGGCCAGTGCCCTACTCCTTCGAGCCACAGGAACTGCCCTAGTTTTTCTGTTTTTAGTAGAGACAGAGTCTCTCTCTTGCTCAAGCTGATCTTGAACTCCTGAACTCAAATAATCCACCTGCCTGGGCCTCCCAGAGTGCTAAGATTACAGGCATGAGCCACCACACCTGGCCTCACTAGAGATTTTTAAATAAGATGGGAAAAAATAGAATTCTTTTTTTTTTTTTTAAGAGACAGAGTCTCACTTTATCACCTTCTGTAGAGTACTATGACGTCACAGCTCACAGCAACCTCCAGCTCTTGGGCTTAGACGATTCTCTTGCCTCCGCCTCCCAATTAGCTTGGACTACAGGTGCCTGCCACAATGCCCAGCTATTTTTTGTTGCAGTTTGTCTGGGGCTGGGTTTGAACCCGCCACCCTCAGTATATGGGGCTGGCACTCTACCCACTGAGCCACAGGCACTGTCCAGAATTCTTTTTTTTTTTGCAGTTTTTGGCTGGGCTTAGGTTTTAACCCACCACCTCTGGCATATGAGGCCAGCGCCCTATTCCTTTGAGCCACAGGTGTCACCCAGAATTCTTTTTAAAAAAAAACACTTTTAGCCACAATTTATCAGGAAGATCATTAATAAGAACTAGAGCTTCTCTTAGCCCAGGATGCTCTCATCTAAACCACTAGATTTGTAGTAGTATCATGAGCTAGAATTTTAAAGGAATGACCAAAGTCTTATATTTAAAACCCTCTGTACTCTGGCAAGAAAGTATATAGGACTAGATTAAATACAGAAAAGGTTTTTCCTCTGAATGTTCTTCCTGCAACTCAGCTACTTCTTTCTTTTTCCCCACAGATGGAGTCCCCTGTCTCCACACCAGCAGTGCTGCCACTGCACCTTTTGGTGCCAGTGGTCAATAATGACATCTCATCTCCCTGTGAGCAGATCATGGTTCGTACTCGATCAGTTGGGGTCAACACATGTGATGTGGCTCTAGCCACAGAGCCTGAATGCCTGGGCCCCTGTGAACCTGGAACCAGTGTCAACCTTGAAGGCATTGTGTGGCAGGAAACGGAAGATGGTAAGTATGGTGTGTGGCTTTTCCACATCCCTTCTCAAGCTGCTTCTGCTAGGGAGCCTATTGCAGACTGTTGTTATAAATATTGCCAAGTGTTTATTAGGAGTCTCAGGTATCTACAGCCTGCTGGCAATAACCCACACAGAGGATTTAGATTTAGCAAACTTCTTAGCAAATATCCTAGCTTCTAGAGATTGCCAATGCCTAGTTTTTAGGTTAATTATCTACCCTCTATAGCTATTCAACAGTATTGGTCCTTGTACCTGACTGTCACTTATTAGATGCTGGCCAGGTAATTAAAATTGTGTCTATACTCTCCATACTGCTCTGTCATTTTATATGGGAGATTTAGATTATTAATGAAATTTGGGGTCAGACTTGAAAAGGTAATAAAGAGGCCACTAAGGGAGTCAAGGGAATGGAGAATAGTCACTCTTTAAGTTGACTTAATGTTGGTCCATTAACATGCAGTTCTTGCCTTTTTTTAACACCTCTTTCCTTTTTTTTAACACCTGGAAGTACAGCTAGCTCCTTCCTTTCACTTGTTGCCTCATTACTCAGCTACCTCGCCATTTCACATATCTGTCAATTAGTACAAATTTTATAGGCCAGGTCAACAGGGAAATGTTTACATGGTCTTATTTTCAGGCAGCCACTAAGCACTTGGCTCCCTATTGGTTACTATTGCCTAAGGCTTCTTATATGTTCCATTTACCCCTCAGAACAGAATCTCTTCTGCTTTGGAAGTTCATAAACCTAAAAAAGTGTAAAGGAACTTAACCTGGTATTTCAAATCTTACGGTAATACCTCACGGCAGTTTGGTTTCACTACATTCTTTTTATAAAGAATGCAAGTCCTTGTCAAGTATATGTACTTTGAGAAGCTGGGCCTCAGAGTTCCCATCATGTTTCTGCATCAGTAACCAGGCTTTCAAACTGTCCTCACTCTGAGGAGTTTAGAGGCCCAGAAGAGCATAGCTAATTATCTCTGATTATCACAGAGCTATCTTGTCAGTCTGCCCACAGAACGTCAGGCATTGCATTCTGCTCTGTTCCCCTGAATATTTTGTTGTCGTTCAGTAGTTATTTAAAGTTCACTAAGCAGTAGGTGCTAATGTGTTACAGGTTAAGAACTCTGTGTTCTTGGCTTTCTCATCATTAGGGATATATTGATAGTAAATCCTCAGCTTTCAGAATAGCATTGCTAATGAGATTTTATTGTTTGCCTGAGTGGTAGAAACTGATGCAGAGAAAATAGAGAAGTTGACTCTACAGCAGTGATTTTCAGTTGGTGTACTGTGAAAATTTTTAAAGAACATTGATTAAATTATGTTCAGAAGTAGTTCAAAGCATAGTGAGCTTATTCGTTTTTTACTCTTTTTTTGATCAACATAATTTAAGTGTGCCGCAGAAGTTTAGGTTCAAGTGTGCTGTGAGATAAAAAAAAGGTTGAAAAACACTGCTCTAGAGGTTGACTCTGAATGTGTGTACATAGTATACAATCTGGAAATCTCAAAGTGCCTGTCTGATTTTAAAAGGTCATCTGCTTATGGCCAAACAGTCTGTTGGAATGATGAACATATCTAGACCACAAATTTTGTGCCACAAAGCAACCTTCAAGGCCTCTTGTCTCAATGTATTGAAGATAGAAGACATTGATTTCCTGCCTATTTGTTCTACCCACCTTTATAATGGTGACTTTTCTCTAAGGGCAAGATGCTTTTTATATACCTGTACCTAACAAAAACTTGTTCAGAGTGAAGGCACTCTCCTTTTTTTTTGGTAGAGACAGAGTCTCACTATCGCCCTCAGTAGACAGCTGTGGCGTCACACAGCTCATAGAAATCTCCAATTCCTGGGCTTAGGCATCTCTGCCTCAGCCTCCCGAGCAGCTGGGACTGCAGGTGCCCGCTGCAAGGCCCGGCTATTTTTTTTTTTTTTTTTGAGACAGGAGCCTCAAGCTGTCCCCCTGGGTAGAGTGCCATGGCATCTCAGCTCACAGCAACCTCCAACTCATAGGCTCAAGCGAGTCTCCTGCCTCCGCCTCCCAAGTAGCTGGGACCACAGGCGCCTGCCATAACACCCGGCTATTTTTTGGTTGCTGCCGACATTGTTGTTTGGCGGGCCCGGGCTGGATTCAAACCCGCCACCTTGGGTGTACATGGCTGGTGCCTTAGCCACTTGAGCCACAGGCGCCGAGCCCCGGCTATTTTTTTGTTGCAGTTTGGCCAAGGCTGGGCTTGAACCCGCCACTCTAGGTATATGAGGCTGGTGCCCAACCCCTGAGCCACAGGCACCACCCCTGAAGGCACTCTCTTGAGGACAATGATTATTTTTTATTTGAAAATATTTTTTGTCCCTCCCTGCCAGGGGTGGGGGGAGTGGGGGTGATGTTAACACAGATTTGCTTGTTGTGGTTGTAAATCATTTGCTATGAAAGCCTGTCTTGTCAGGTTGTTACTGGCAGCCTGGCTCTTGTTAGGGAACCAAGTTTCCTTGTTATGTATTCTTGGAGTACCATATACTTTATTTCACACCATACATTACAGTTTGCAACTTTGTTTATAATTGTGTATTTATTCTACTAATGGCCATCTCTTCCACTGTTTTAGAAATTCTGTGATATCGGATACTCTTATTTTGGTCACCATTCTATCCATAGTACTTAATCATCTGCACCTATAGTAAGCTCACAAAAATATTAGGATGAGTGTTTACATCCACTCTGTGTTAATATACAGAAAATGTCGAAAAATATGTGTACACATTTTTTTTTTTTTTGAGACAGAGTCTCACTTTATTGCCCTTGGTAGAGTGCCTTGGTGTCATAGCTCACAGCAACCTCAAACTCTTGGGCTTAAGTGATTCTCTTGCCTCAGCCTCCCAAGTAGCTGGGAGTATAGGTACCTGCCACAATGCATGGCTATTTTTAGAGATGAGGTTTCATTCTGGCTTGGACTGGTCTTGAACTTCTGAGCTCGGGCAATCCATCCACCTCTGCCTCCCAGAGTGCTAGAATTATAGGTGTGAACCACTGCGCCCGGCCTTGTAAACAAAGGAAAATACCGTATTAAATACAAGTCACATTTGAACACCTTTTGTAATTGCAGAAGTCAAACATGACTTGAATATTACAATTTTAATACAGCTTTTTCTTTTCTTAAAATAGGCATACATTTTTTTGGCACCCTCTGTATATCTGACAGATACTACAGTATTGCTTAAACTTAGGAATCAAGTCAAAATACTTTCCAAAATTCTACACTTTCTCTGAAACTCAGAATAAATACTGTTTTCACCAGATTTGAGATCACTCATTTATCTAAGTCCTTAAAATATTTAACTGCACTTTTAATACCAGGTTTTCTCCCACTTACTATATTGTGTTTCAAGGCTTAGTGCCTTTCTTCTTGCTTTTTCCTTTCATTCCAAGGGAAAGAGAATTGTTCTGCAGTGATACACTCAACTTTTCTTTGCTTTCTGACCACCCCAGAAGGCCTTCACTTGAACTGTCAGTTGGCAGAGGTCTGAATTGGGATCAGAGTTGGTTCACATTCCTTTTCATCTTCAGGTAACAGATTTCCTGCAAAGATCATTCTCTAAAGATCTATAAGATCTAATGTACTGAATCAGTCCTCAAGTTAATCATAAGAACTACATACAGATATATTTTTTAAATCATCCAGCTTTCTAGATTTTTTGACTTTTTGTAATTCCGTCTGTCTCTTTGCCCAGCAAACTAGTATCTTCAAATAGAAAAGTCCTTACAGCTTGAAGAAAAGCTGTGATTGATTGGCTTCTGAGGGGAAGGGAGGACACTGAGGTCTCAGTAGAACTGAGCCACCTTGCCGGGAACAGTTGTAGGGGTCATGCCCTCAATTATTCTGGTTTCTTTGCCTCCTTGTCCTACAGTGTTGCTTCTTTCTTTCCTCCTCTCTCCCTGTTGCTCACTTTAAACCTTACCTTGGAGGCATTTTGAAATTCCTGCAGACTCCTCTTTTTAGGCTATTCATAATTTAGTCAGCACTGCAAGATTCTTTTGACTATGTTCAACCTTGGGACTGTTAAGAACACCCAACTAGGCTTGGCGCCTGTGGCTCAAGCAGCTAAGGCACCAGCCATGTACACCTGAGCTGGCAGGTTTGAATCCAGCTTGGGCCTACCAAACAACAGTGACAACTGCAACCAAAAAATAGCCGGGCGTTGTGGCGGG